GTATTTTTCGGTTGAGAATCTTTTTTATAACTAAAAATACAAAATTTGTGTGTTATAATTGAGCTTGTTGAGTTATATTAGGAGTCTATAATGTTAATTGATTCACTTTCCGTTTTAAAAATAGTGTAATCCCCTATTTCACGCCGTGAATATGGTCGAATACAATAATCTGTCCAGCTGTAATCCCACGTTTCACTCTATTAATACAGTCGAATACACTCAAATACAACAACTGATTAGCTGGACTTCTCTGATTCACTCCTATTTTTGCTACTGTATTCATGAATACAATAGCTTAAATACATCAAATACATCTTATAACGACAGAAAATGTATCTATAATCCGTAATATATCAAATGGTATCTATAGATGACTAATTACTACTAAAAGATAGTGCTTTATGAAAATTCAAGTTACTGATTTAATAATATATGGATTATAATTTATGTTTTCAGAAGAGTTATGCACTTAGGGGTCGTTTGGTAGGAGGTATTAGAGAAAATAATACAAGTATTAGCTCTATGCATTACTAATACCTTGTTTGATACCTTTTTTCAACTTGTGTATAACTAATACTTGGCATTATCCTATGCATAAGTAATGCATAGAAAACCATGGCATTAGTAATACCAAGGCTTTAATGCATGCATTAGCATGGTTAAAGACAAAATTGTCCTTAAAGCTAGAGAATGTGGATGACATTTTTGTAAGCAACTATTTTTTTAAAAAAATTATGCAATGCATTATAATTTTAATACACCACACCAAACAATAGATAAGAAATAATATTTGCATAACTAATGCTTACATTACTAATACATGCATTACTAATACACATTATTCCGCACTATTCTTATACATCCTACCAAACGACCCCTTAGTACAGTAGTATGCTTGTTGTTTAAGAGGAATCATTTATCTTTCCTGCTTTAGCATCTATATCTATATATATACATATATAAAGCTAGGAATCAGAAAGATGATGTGGCACCCATCAAAACTCAAGGAAGTCCTTTATATTTTTTCTTATTTTTTTGGCATTTATCCCTTATTTGATGTCAACAAAATGTGCAGAAAATCAACTGTAATGGACTACCTTTCATAGAATTTAATATTAACCTATAACTGTAAAATTAATACCAAAAAGGACAATAAAGAATCATGAATGCAATAAGAATTGCAGTAAATCAGGATAATGAAGAGTCATGATGGAATTCTTTTCCTCGTGAAGATAAAGGCTCCCTATAACTTCTAAATCACTAAAATTGCACTGGTTTAGACAACTCATTTCTGCTTCAAACGAATCCTTTTTTTGGTGGGTAAGAAGAATTGTTCAATTAATGAATAATGACTATTGAGCTTCCATTTGAAGTGTAGACAAAAAAGAACGCATCAGGTTTTTTCTTTTTTCTTTATATAGACGATAAGGTTCAGATATTTGCTTTCCTAGAAAATCTAAATTAGGCATATATTTGCCCTCTAATATTGAATATAGTATTTTTTTTAGTGCAAAATCTAGACATAGCAAGAAAAAAATGATTTCTTCTTTTCATGGCAAATTATTGAAGCTTATTTTGCGGGGACTGTTTGGAAGAGCGCGACATCTAAAAAGATCAAAATTCTTATGTATATGGAGTATCTATAATACTTCCTCGTCTTATAAAGTTGTGTATTTTATAAATCTGTACTAACTTGCTTCAAATGCTTGCCACAGATATCAATGAGAAAACTAGCTTGAGGTTGGTCTCCCAATAATTGAGAAAACTAGGCCAACACTTCCTTTTCTTGACCAAAATCTAAATGTAAGTACCACCATTAAGGTTATATTGTTTCCTTTTTCTTTTCTATTTCTACAACTCGTATTCTCCTCCTCTTTTATTCTGACTCATATTTTCGTTCATTTTTGTCGATTCGTTGAAGGCCGACTTGCAGTGTCTTCCCGGTTAGACCTTCTGTGATTTGGTAAAATTTATTGATATACATATTGTTACAGATAATTGTGGTATTTGCATGAATCTTATTATAGACCTTTATTAGTGCTCGAAGTTTTTGTTAGAATTTATAGTTTTTATGAATTTATGTTCTTTATCGGGTATCGAGTGCTCTGTTGGCTAATTATGCACTTTCTTATGTTGGCATACAGTTCTCTCCAGATATATAGAAGATTTGTTCGATCTTTTCCACCAAGTAAATATTTTTTTTAATGTTTTTACCAATAATTTTTGGTTGGATAGTAATTAACAACGTCATGATGTTTAATTCCATGTCTGCTGCCCCATAGATGTTCAGATTTATGGCTTATAGAAAGAGCATGCGCTTTGTGCTTCAGAAAATAATACTTATACTTTAATAAATCTGAACAATTATTGGTATGCTTATAACCTATATATTGAAAGACGTATGACTAATGTCTTATGTATTCAGAAACAATACTTACTGATTTTAAAGTGATTTATTCTTATGTAGCTTGGGTCTTTAAAAATGTCAGTATATTTTTGTCAGATATCAAAATATGAATTATTTTTGGAAAATTGGACACACACTCAAAAATACTTTTAAAGGATCTGAGTAGATTTATACAAATTAACTTTAGAGTAATGTAAATCATTGATGTCAAAAGACACTACATGGATAAAGCTTTCAAGTTAAGGAATGGGTTTTCCGATTTTGGTTGTATCATAGCACTATTTTTTAATGTTAGATAATTACCTTTAGACTCTCGATTATTTTTATAAGATTACGTTTTTTATGTATAAGCAATAAATATTTTATTTCTTATATCTTAAAGAAATCTACAAAAAATATTTTTTGAATTCTTATAATTAACCGCACGAAGTGCGGGTAAATTCACTAGTTAGATATAAATTAGTAATACATCGTAGTTTACCAGATAGCTAACCAAACTATCCAACAATCAAATAGTGATATTATCATTTTTAGCCCGCGCCTAAAACTATTTACATTCGGTAGACGAAAAANATATATATATATATATTTTCGGCTATTATTTTAAAAGCGACCATACAGTGTCATTTTCCCAAAATATAAATATCTTAGTAATGATATTAGTACGTCTACAAATAACACCATTTGAAAATTTACATCTTGTAAGCTTGAATCTTCTTCCCAAGCTATCATCAAATTTTTACTCCAATATCCCAATTAAAAAGGATTTCAACTTTAGTATTTACTTTGTTGGAATAAAGCCTTACTTTTTCTTTTTACCTTTTTCGAAGCCGGATGGACGAAAGAAAGAGAAAGGTAGAAAATTACATTGGAACATTGTATGATATTGTCAAAGAATAGAGAAGATCGCTACTAGCTACACAATTTAAAGCTAAGGCATTCAGAATTCTGCTCCTGAAGTTTATCAGGATACTAATGTTAAAGTGGTCCGTCCTTGTACAAATCCTTTGGCTCCAGTAAGATTACACCACAGTAGATTCAGAATGCATTAACCGACACCGTCAAATAAGGTCTGTCAACCAAATCACAGCAAACTCCTAACCCCTGCTCCAAATACAACATTTACTTCCTGAAGCAGTATCATAGCCTAATATCAACATATCGACACCATAAACATACGAGGATTCAGGCAAGAATAGGGGCTTTTAATTTCACAAATTTACATCTTCAAAATACACCACTGGCGATGGCTCAACCAGAAACACAAGAATCAAGAGGTTGCCACACCATAGAGATCTCCAAGATTGTAGCTCAGCTGTTTGCAGGCATGCAACCTGAGCATCAAGAATATTACTGGTTTGGGAACACTCAACTTCTATCACCAGGTAACTTCTTCTCCTTCTTGCTCGTAGTCCATAGAGTCTAACAAGACAACACAATGAGCCTTGGTGTTTGAACCTGCACATTAACAAAATCAGCAGTTTGAAAGGGTAAGTTCAACATTCTACAGTAGAAATCCATGGCAGAAACCATGTTGGTTTTAAGTTGGGTATAACGTCATGAATGAGGTATGCAAGTTGCAAAATACAGGTTGATGATATTCTGCTTTTCTTAAAGCAGTACCACAGTTAAGCTTGTCGCCCCTACATTATGCCAATAATCGGTATAGACAATTGATTCTCTTGAACAGCTAAATGTGGCACAAAATTATCAAAACCACTCAATTCAAGCTAATACTAAGTAAAAAGCTAGTTTGGTCTCCAACAATATTCGAAGTCGCTGTTTAGTCCACACTTATGTGCCTACCAATGTGATGGGGTTGACGACATGATTGGAATTCAAGGGAACACTTTGAAAAGGAATATTAAATGTGGAACTATGGAGTATAAATATGTTAGGAGTTGCGGTTGGCTGGACCAGGGATCTAATCAATGCAGGAGACCTGAGAATCTCTTTCAGTTTTGGCATCAGTTTTTGGAATTACTGTTTGCAAACAAACGTCAAAAATAAGACATGAAAAGAGCAATTAATGCAGAGGGGGCAGACTTAAAGCTTCTGGTATAGCTTATAAATAATGATCTAATAGGACGTTAACAATTTATTAATGTATTGATGCAGGGGAAGAATTTTCAACTAGCTAACAGATGTCACTTATGCCTTTGCAATTCTGAAACAAACAATCATTTGTTTTTTCACGACCCAGTTGCAACAGACATTTGGAACATGTTTCTAACACTTTTATGACTGGAATGGTCTGTGCCATGCAGGGAGGCCTTTGCGAGCTGGAGTTCCTGGAAAGTTAAGAAGTCCATTAAAAGGATATGGTCTACGGTTCCTGCTCGTATTTTGTGGTGCATATGATCAGAAAGGAATCAAAGATGCTTTGATGGCATTTCAACTGCCAACTATACACTCAAGGGCCAAGGCCAAATGTTTGGTTAATCTTTTTAGCTGGGCTTAATCTTACCCGTGTATATAACCCTACCTCCTTTTTGGAATTTATCAGCTCGTCTTATAATAGCCAGACCCCACGTATGGGATTAAGCTGGGTTTGTTGTTGTTGTAGTCTAATATTAGATTTATTTTTCTATATTCATGGACTGATATTTTCTTTTGTTTCGTAACCTATGCATCTTCTTGATGTTTTCTGTTACTGATATTCCCCTTCAAAAAAAAAAAAAAGAAGCAGTCTGGTGCACTAAGCTCCCGCTATGCGCGGGGTCCGGGGAAGACAGCCTTATACTGCATTTCTGTAAGAGACTGTTTCCACGGCTCGAACCCGTGACCTCCTGGTCATATGGCAGCAACTTTACCAGTTGCGTCAATGCTCCCTTCAATGATATTCCATTTCATTTTAACAAAAAAATTTTTATTAATGCACCTGCAACTGAATCATATCACCTTTTTGTTCTATCCGAGAGGTTCTCGAAATAAACTGCTATAAATGAGTATACTCACGACATTATCCTATTCATTTCCTTCACTCTTTTCCTCAATTTTCACTATTTCACAAGCTATTCTTTCCCGTTTACTGTGTTTGTCCAAACAAAAAGCCAAAGGTTTATATTTTATTTCAGTCAAGTCCTTGTTTCTACTCCTTCCTTACTCGAGCAGAAATGATTGAGCCAGCCACTACCTTCAAGAAAAAGAAGTTTCACATAGTCTTTGTATTGTGCATCAAACAATTTATAATCGTCAAGTACGGTAACCTTTAGATAAAGGAAGGGCCTAAAGAGATTAGGAAGATCATTTGCAAATAAACAAAGAAAACATTTTGCCCTCCTGAGTCTTGAGTATTGATTTAGAGAACATACGCTTCCACTCACTCTTTTCAGGTATCATGGGATCCTTTACCTCTAACTCTGAGCTCATTTGTATCTCTCTGACCTTCTCCCTTCCACAATTATGAGAAGGAAATCATAACTTCTCCACAATTAATGCCGTCAGTCGCACTGGGAGCTCCTCCTACACTAAGTTGCTCCGACATGACAGTTTAGGTTCCGCATCCGTGTCGACACGACACTAGTATGGGTGCGAGTATGGGATCCTTACTGAATTTGGTCAAACGATTTTGGGTACTTTGACCACAACGGACGGAAAACTTCGAGACGAGATACAATTTGATTCCCAAAATTAGAAATAAAACTAGGATAGATTGAAGAAAATGACATACCTTATCTAGGAAATTACTACTTTCTTATCTACAACTTGAGAATAAAAAAGAAATCCACACTTTACAAGCTATACGTAAGTATTCCTGTAAATTTCTCATAATTTAGAGATTTTTTTCTTTTTTTTGAAATATTCTTAGCCCGGATCCCCGCACCTGTATCCGTACTAGGATCCGTATCTCCGAATTTTAGACTTTACATCTCGAATGATCCGACCTCTAGGTCCGCACCCGTGTCAGACACTCGCAACTGTGTCCGAGCAACTTAGCTCCTACACATAGAAAGGTGTTTGAAAACACCAGCAATTTCCTCTTCAGTCATCTAGTTCTGTCTTTACTAGTATAACTATCTGTCCTTAGAAACCTTGGACTTTATAGGAGGGGGTTTTCCTTTCTTTTGTCTTTTTTCTCTATGCTTACCCCTCCCATAGTTTTGGGATTTCAATCTTTTGTGATTAATTAAGCTTAATATTTGATTTTCTTAATTAGGTAGCACTTATTTCTATATTCAAATGACCCTGGATTCAGTGTCGACATTAAAATTTCACTGTTCACTTATAACCTTTTTAAATAGGAAATTATGATTAACGCAAAGTGGGTTCTGACACGCTTAAGGCATCCCTTTGCTTGCCTATAATCTAACACCTCCACCACAAACCCCAGGAAGTTGCCTCCAGCACTTAAATTACAGCAAATGGCAAGAGCAAACTGTTAAACATACTTATCAGTTTATTACTTGCTTAGAGAAAAGAAAAAAAACACCTACTAGAGAGTTTGACAAGTATAAATAATGGGAATAGGGACCATTTCTAATTTGACACGACACACTCGCACACATTCTAAAAGAGTTACTCTGTGGTGAGATGAACCATCATTAGCAACTGAAACAAAGAATACAATGCATACAAATCTCCTTTGCACCTTGTTTTCCAATGAATAGAATATGAATCTTGTCAAAGTGGAATTTTGCATGAAACTAAGGAAAAAATTTACAAGCTTGTGTGTACATGTGGCAAACCAAATGATACAGAAATTTAGCAACCAAGTTAAGTCGTGAAAACAAACAGCAAGTGCGAAAGTTAGAGGCATACCTCTGATACAACTATTTTAACACCCTTGGATATCATTCTTTCTCGATAAACAGGATACACAAGTCACCAAGAATCCATATTCATTTCGTTTTATGACAGCATAGCACCTTTCCACATTGTTTTTGATGATCAACATCTTGTCCAGAAGGGATCACCAGGAATCCACTATCAGTTCATTATCATAATCATATTAACCTTTGCATATTGTTTCTTTATTGATCAACATGACATTCAAAGCAATCACCAAATACGCAATTCATTTCGTTGATGATCATTGCAAGTTGCAGTCGGACAGCTAAAAAAGATACAACAACAACTATGCTAAATCTCAAACTAATTCGGGTTGGCTTCTAAGTTTACTCTGACCATCTAAGTTTACTCTGACCGTCAACCTACTGCAACCCATTGATGACAACTGCAGTTCAGACAACTCAAAACGATACAACAACAATAACAACTACCATGCTCGATCTCAAAATAGCTCATGCCGGCTTCTAACTTTACTATAATCGTCAACCTATTGCAAGCATCTCCTCTATTCGGACATGAAACCAGCAATGTGAGCTCACACAGGATGCAAAGCTCACAGCTCTAGATGATCACAAATTTAAAACAGCACCAGAAAATTGAGAACTTTGCCACACCTCAATACCCTCAACATCTTCTCTAGTAACAAACAGCCTATCACCAGCTCCCTCAATCTTCTTTATGATCCCTCTTTCAGCATCCTCCACTTTATCCATATAATTCCTCCTATACAACCCTCCATGCAACACCATTTCCCTCTCAACATCACTTTCTTTCTCCACCATTCTTGACCACACCTCCAACTCTCCCCCTCTTCCGACAAACACCTGCTTTCTATAACAGTGAAGTAAAATATTGCTTCCACCACTTGCAACATGCCTCATACATGGATTTTTCTCTTCCAAATACACCCATGGATCTTCACTCAATTTACGAAGATCTGCCACTGCCAAATCACCAGACTTTGAACATATCTTGAACATGGTCAACTGGTCCCGGTCAAAGTCAATGTCAGCAAATGAGTCACCAAACCGGCTGCTCCGACCCGACCCAGGTTCATTCGTCTCCCACACAACGTCCCCTGCTCTGGGGTCCCACAACCGCACGTAACCGGAGTAACCAAAAGCTCCGGCAGTCACTGAAACGCCGACTAGAGCATTAATCTCCGGCAGAAAAGTCAACTTTCCGACAACCGTTGACTTCGCCGAATTCCCAGATTGCCTTCCCAACTCCAAAACTGCTTTCATCGTACACTTGTCGATACTCAAAACACAATTCTCTCTATGCTGACACTCCAAGGCCGCAAAGACAGAGTCCGGCGAGTCAACAACCGCGTTGACTTTTGCCTTGTAGATTCTCGGGTCAGACGGGTCGGTCCATTCGACAGACCCAACTCTACGTCCATTAGCCAAGTTATAAAAATGGAGCCCCGACTCGAATTCAGACCCGACAACCGCCAAATCGGGTCCAACCTTCCGAATCGAGCTGATGTAATCAAGATGGGTACGAATAGTTTCGGTATGGGTCAAACTCCAATCGTAAACCGAAACCTGCCCTCCATGAGCGACCCAAACGGAGGCGTCAGAATCAACGGCGTTAAAGTCCGTTACAACGCCGTCAGACGAGGGGCGGATGGTCGAAAAAAGTGACGCGTCGATTCCGCTGAGTTGACTCGGAGCGAGTGCAGATCTGAGCTGTGATTCAATTCCATAGTAAACAGCTTCGTCGATGAGCTCTTGATTGGAGAATCGTTTTGCGGTCGAAGGGAGACGATTAGACCGGAGAAGAGCTAAGAGAGCCGAGAAGATTTCTGGGTCCCGGTCGATGAAAACCGGTTCGTCGGAATTCCGGTTTGATAAGGCAGATAAGAGAGAATCGGGTCCACCAGAGCGAAGTGTGGATACTGTTGTTTCAAAGAGCTTGCCTCCGACGTTGAGTTTCACACGGTCGCTGACTTGGCTTTGAATTGTTGTACGTCGTGCTATGCTGATTGTACCGTCCTCCATCGATTGGAAATTCGATATCGGAACGATTCAGTTGACCAACGGCGGATGGCTTTGTAAATTGTGCTGTTTTATCTTTTGATTATTTTGGATGAAAAAATAAATAAATGAAGGTTATTGATTGTTTTTAATTTTGTTTTATTACGTGGACCCTGGAAGGTTCTTCAAGGAGTATTGAGAAATTTAAATAAATAAGAGCCCGTTTGGATGGACTTGTTTTAAGACGGTGTTTGGCTAAGCTTATAAGCTGGTCAAACTGGCTTATTGGCTTATCTACGCGTTTAGTAAAATTAAAAGTGCTTATAAGTTAAGTGCTTATAAGCCAAAAATAAGCCAAAAGCCATAAGTTGGTCTCCCCAACTTATCAAATTTCAGCTTATAAGCACTTTATGTTTGACCAAAATATTTACTATTTTATCCCTAAAATAATTCTTTTTAAACAAAACTCTTCGTATACCCAATTCTTCAGCTGCTTATTATTAATTTCAGCACTTTTATCCAAACACGTAACTGCTTATTTTTTAAATCAGCTTCAGCACTTAAAAGTGCTTTTCAACACCTAATGTTTATCAGCTACTTAAATCAGCTAAGCCAAATGAGCTCTAAGTTACTTTTAAGCCAAAATAACTTTTAAGCCATAAGTTAGGAATTCTAACTTTTTGCTTTTGGCTTGTTTTTGTCATTTTAGCTTAAAAACAAGTGCTTAAAAGTATTTTTTTTTTGCTTTATCCAAACACTACAAAATGACTTAAAAGCTATTTTGGCTTAAAAGCACTTAAAACAAGCCAACCCAAACGGGTTCTTAACAAAATTTGCTCTTCGTGTCTTAACAAAATTTGACTTAATTACACTTAGTATACCATATTACCAATTCTATAAGTTATCATGCTAGAGTTATGCTACAGACTTATGGGTAGGTCGGTATCCTGTCCCATTTGATATCAAATACTCTTAGAGGCTTTATATACACATGTTTATTTGTACAGTATGCTAGAGGCCTTGATGGCCCGTGTGTATTCATGTTTTAAGTACGATAGTTTGCTGATACAGTGTTTGTCCATTTAGGGTTGTACATTATGAGTTGGGGCCATCTTGGCCTATGATAGTTACAAGAGGAAAAAGTTCAGCCAACTCAACCTATTTATGTTCTAGTTTTGGTTAAACGATCATGAGTTGCAGAGTGGTTCGCTCGGCCTAGCACGTTACCGGGTGCCAGCCATGCCTCCCCAGGTTTGGGGCGTGACAAATTGATATCATAGTTGGTCATGTTCTAGGGAGTCTACGAAGTTGTTCCTAGTAGAGTCTCACTTATGGGTGTGTTGCGCACCACACTTATAATGAAGAGGCTATAGGGCATTTAGGAAATGTTACCCATCTTTTGTTTTCAGATCGTGCCATAAAGCTAAGTCGTAAGAAATCAATATGAAACTTCCACTAGATTTTATATGCGCCAGAGGTGCAGGTATCATAGTAAAGCTTTAAGACGTGGATGTAATTCCCACTTGTGTGGAAGGGAGGTGAAGAAAGCGACAGAAGAGAATGCAAGATTGAAAGGTAAGAAAGATAAATGCGAAGAAGATACGAGATAGTTAAGTACATAAGGTTGTGAATAGTCCAAACTTCAGATAGAGGTTGGGTTTTAATTTAGTTTACGGAGGAGGCCCTAGCAAAAGTTTTGTAAATCTCTAAGAGTTAACATTCAAGGACGAATTTTTCTAAATGGAGGAAGGATGTTACATCCCGTACATTTCTACATTAGATTTGTCATAGATAATTGATATAAGTTCAAGGGCAAGACTATTTTTGAGGTTATAAGTATTTGTGATATTCCAAACAAGTGATAAGCAAGTGTTATGAAGGTTAGAGGATAAACGAATCAAAGAAATTGAGTATCGCCGAAGTTTGATATTTTGAGAAGAAATACGGTCCAAGCTATGATACTATGTATTAATGGACCAGTGCTATACCGCATGACCATGATAGTAAGTTATATGAAGTATATTAGTATTTAAGTAAATTGAGTGCTAGAATTAATTATATGTCTAGTTGGTTAAATGGAGGATTGTAGTGTAAGATCTAGAAATTAATTGTGTGGAATTAATATAAGTGGATAATTGTAAAAATTGTATTGTCCCCGTGGGACCATAGCAACTAAAAAAAGATGTGACTAATTTGTATTAAAGGGTGACATTTGTCGAAAAAGTCATGATTTTTAAAGTGGTGGCAAATGAGGGTCTGATGACTAATTAAATGAGTATTCATTTAATGACATGTGTAAGTGGTTAAAGGCCCCTTTGTAAAATATATTTTTCTACTTCCGGATATGCTTTAAATTATACATATAATATGAGAAAGTTTATAAAAAATTTTTTATTGTAAAGGTAGAAATTATTTTCTCACAAGAAAAGAAGGTTATCTTTTTACCATTTTAAGAATTAAGCGTACGAAAAATTTGTACTCTTTTTATGAGATTAGGAAAACTAGAAGTTGATAAAATATATGTGTGTTTTTACATGGATATTTTAATGAAGTATTAGTGTATGTATTAATTTTGTATGGTACCATGATTTACTATTTTAATAGTAGTACTTTAGGATAAGGATTTGTGGACAAGTGCAAGGTGACAAGGATGTCCACATGGCCATATATCAAGGAGCATCAAGTGACTAGTACAAATTATCATGTTGGTATAAAGTTATGAAATATTGAACAAGTTATAAGTTGATAAGTGTCATTTATATGAATCCATTTGGAATCATGAGGGTAAGGGGGACTCATGACTAATGACCTTTATAGGATCTATTAGTGGACACTTGGAATAAGTTGGTTGTATAGTAATTACAACTATGTATGCCTTACTTCCACATGTTTTTGGTCTTATCATAATATGAACTCTTATCTTTAAGTGGGTGCATATAAATGGGGTTATCATTTAGATGATCATGTGTCATCAATTAAGGAAAGAGCGGACGGGAAGAGGATCCCACGTGTAAGTAGGGGGAAGTGATATATATATACACATATGTATCTTATTTCATTTTAGGAAGTGACGAGCTTAAGGAATGCATATGCAGTACTTAATATTAGGTAGTGAAAACATGAGTTTATGGAGGCATCACCTTTTAATTTGATCTTCTTCTATTCAACTCAATATTTTATGATTTCAGATATAGTAGCAACACTGTTTCCTTTCCAACATAGAAGTAGCATTCTCTTTCCATTTGTAACAGCAACGCGAAGTCATCCAAAGACGGATTTAAGGTATGTTAAGGCTAATCCTTCTTTCTTTTGGCATGATCCAAGTAACAATACATAAACGTTAATGCTATTCCATAAGTGGTTCTACTCTTAGCAGTTAAGGATGTCTATGTTATTCATTCATGTAAAGTGATATTCAAGCATGTCTAAGTATGTTCCTAAGTCTCTATTGAGGTATTTGATAAAGATGTTAATGTTCATAATGGTATTATATGCATCATTATTTACCACCGAGCTATGGTCGGTCGGGCAGTCATGCATTTACCATCGAGCTACGACCGGTTGGGCAGTTATATATTTACCACCGAGCTACGGCCGGTCGGGTAGTCATGCATTTACCATCGAGCTATGGCTGGTTGGGCAGTTACATATTTACCATCGAGCTATGGTCGGTCGGGCAGTCATTCATTTATCACCGTGCTACGGTCGACGGGCAGCTACCACTGATCAGTTGGGCAGTAATGCATCATAAGATATGGATAATATTCTCAAAGAGAAGCATTGTATATATGATGAGTATAATAAATATGCATATACGGTGGCACTTCAGAGATTCAGGTTGATTCTTATATGTCTTTAATTAATGTTGACTTATTCTTATATTTCAGTTATGCCTTACATACTCAGTATATTATTCGTACTGACGTCCTTTTGTTGGGGATGCTGCATTTATGCCTGCAGGTATAGATAATCAGTTTGACGAGTCCTCATAGTAGACAAGGTTGGCATTAAGCGAAGGATCAGTAAGACTCCACCCATTCGTAGTGCAGCCACATCTATAAGTTATCGTGTCAGAGTTATGCTACAGACTTATGGGTAGGCTGGTACCCTGTCCCATTTGATATCAAATACTCTTAGAAACTTTGAAGATACATGTTTATTATGTACAATATGCTAGAGGCCTTGATAGCCCGTGTATATTTATGTTTTAAGTACGATAGTTTGCTGATACAGTGTTTGTCCACTTAGGGTTGTACATTATGAGTTGTGGCCATGTTGGACCATGATAGTTACAAAAGGAATAAGTTCAGCCAACTTAACCTATGTATGTTCTAGGTTTGGTCAAACGATCATGAGTTACAGAGTGGTTCGCTCGGCCCAGCACGGTACCGAGTGCCAGCCACGCCTCCCCAGGTTTGGGGCGAGACAAATTGGTATCAGAGTAGGTCGTATACTAGGGAGTCTAAAACTTTGTGCCTAGTAGAGTCTCACTTATGGGTATGTTGCACACCACACTTATAATTAAAAGGCTATATGGCATTTAGGAAATGTTACCCTTCTTTTGTTTTCACATTGTGCATAAAGCTAAGTCGTAAGAAGTCAGTATGAAACTTTCACCGGATTTTGTATGCACGAGAGGTGCAGGTATCATAGTAGAGCTTTAAGGCGTGGATGTAATTTCCACCTGTGTGGAAGGGAGGTTATGAAAGCAACAGAAGAGAATGTGAGATTGAAAGGTAAGTAAGGTAAATGTGAGGAAAATACGAGATATTTAAGTGCAGAAGGTTGTGAATAGTCCAAACTTCATATAGATGTTGGGTTTTATTTTAGTTTACGGAGGAAGCCCTAGAAAAAGTTTTGTAAATCTCTAAGAGTTAAAATTCGAGGACGAATATTTGTAAAGGGGGAAGGATGTTACATCCCGTATATTTCTACATTGTATTTGTCATAGATAATTGATATAAGTTCAAGGGCAAGACTATTTTCGAGGTTATAAGTATTTGTGATATTCCAGACAAGTTATAAGCAAGTGTTATGAAGGTTAGAGGATAAACGAATCGAAGAAATTGAGTATCGCCAAAGTTTGATATTTTGGGAATAAATACGGTCCAAGCTATACT